GTTTTCTTGGCAGTCCATGGTATGTTCAAGACTTTTCTCCAGCACCACAAGCCAAAGACATCGATTATTCTTCTATCATTCTTAGTCATTGTCCAGCTTTCTGATGCATAGCAAGTAATTGTGAATACCATGGCCTGAATCAGGTGCACCTTAGTCTCTAGAATGCTGTTGTTGCTTCTTAGTACTGTGTAGAGGTTCCTTATAGCAGATTTTCCCAGTGCAATTAATCTTTTTTATTTCCTAACGGCTGATGCCCAGAGTGTTGATTGTGGAGCCAGACAAGCTGAAATTGTTAAACCTCAATGTCTTCTCCTCTATCAATTGTCCCAGTGGTGAGAATCTTTGTCTTCTTGATGTGAAGCTTCAATCCATATTGTTGTTGATTGCCTTTGAGTCGAGCACGACTCATAGCGACCCTATGAACAAAGGACTGAAGCCTTTCTATAACTACTGACATTTATTAAAGTTCATAGAGTTTCCAGAGGCATGTTTTTTAGAAAGTGGATGCCACTCCTGCTTCCAAACTTCCATGGGTAACCGTTATGGCATTTGACACCCCAGTGTCACAAGGTTTTATCCATATTGAAGACTACAATTTTTGACCTTGTGCAGCAAGCTCTTCAGGTCTTCCTCTGTTTCAGCAAGCAGGGTTATGTCATCTGCATAACATGTGTTGTTGATGAGTCTTCCTCTAATCCTGATGCCTTGTTCCTCTTCATAAAGTCCAGCCTCCCAAATGACCTGTTCGACATACAAAGTGAAAGGTGTGGAGACAGTATTTCTTTCCTGATTTTGAACAATGCAGTGTTTTCTTGCTCTGTTTTGAGGACTGCTTACTGATCCAAGTATAGATTTCACAGAAGCACAATCAAGTGTTCTGGGTTTCCCATTCTCCTCAAGGTTAGCCACAATATGTTGTGATCCACACAGTTAAATGCCTTTGTATAGTCAATGAAACACAGATAGACATTCCTCTGGTACTCTTTGCTTTCAGCCAAGATCCATCTGACATTAGCAGCAATGTCTCTAGTGCCACACCTTCTAAACCCAGTTTGTAGTTCTCTGTCAATGTACTGTTCCAGTCATTTTTGGACAAGCAGGATTTTGCTTGCATGTGATATTGATGATATTGTTTGATAATTTCCATACTCTGTCTGGTCATCTTTTTTAATGGGAATAAATATGGATCTCTTTCAGTCAGTAGACCAGGTAGTTGTCCTCCAGATTTCTTGGCATAACCTGTTAAGCACATCCAGGGCAGCATCTGTTTGTTGAAATATATCAATTAGTAGTATTCCACCAATTTCTGTTATGATGGTATAGCTGTTGATTGCCATCAAGTTAAGCACAACTCATAGCGACTCTATGAACAAAAGACCTAATGGCTTTCATAGTTTCTCCAAGTTCATAGAGTTTCCAGAGGTATGTGGTTTAGGAAGTGGATGCCATTCCTGCTTCCAAACCTCTTTTACAACTGGGAGCTCCATTCCTGGGGCCTTATTTTTTTGCAAAGTCCTTCAGAGCTGTTTGAACTTCATCCTTCATCACCATTGCCTCTTGATCATATATTGTTTCTTGAAATTCTTCTGTGTTAGCCAATTCTTCTTGGTGTAGTGACTGTGTACCCCTTCCATCATCTTCTAATGCTTCCTGGATCATTGAATATTCTGCCCATAGCATCCTTAAGTATTACAACTCATGACTTGATTTGTTTTTTAGTTTCTTCAGCTCCTTAGTTTCTTGATTTCTCCCCTTTGTTTTGGCTCTCAGCACTCTGGTGCAGTATTCAGTCTCTTCTGACATCCATCTTGGTCTTTTCTTCTTCCTCTCTTTGTAATGACCTTTTGTACTCTTCCTGGATGATATTGAGATTCTCCCATAGCTCATCTGGTCTTTGTTCATTAGTGTTCAAGGCCTCAAACCCGTTCCTGAGTTGGTTTTTAAATTCAGGTAGGTTATACTCAAAAGTACATTTTTT